CCCCTCCCTCTGCTGCCCTGCCTGGTGTCAGTTACAGCCAATAAGATGCCCTCTGGTCTCCACCCCTCCCCTCCCCCCATGTCAGTTACAGCCAATAAGATGCCCTCTGGTCTCCATCCCTCCCTGCCCCTCCATCTGCTGTCCTGCCTCCTTTTCTGTGTGGTCGTCCCCTTTAGATTTTACGTTCATTGGGGGCAGGTACCATCTTTCTTTTTTATTAATTGCATCCACCACCCTTAGAATGGTATCTGGCACAAGCAGGTGCTTAATGTTTATTGGTTTGGATTGAATGGTACTTGAGGAGCATTTTAATTTTTTTTTTTATTTTTGTTTGTTTTTTTGGCTAGACAATGGGGTTAAGTGACTCACCCAGGGTCACACAGCTAGTAAGTGTTATGTGTCTGAGGCTGGATTTGAACTCAGGTCTTCCTGACTTCAGGCCTGGTGCTCTATCCACTGTACCACCTCGCTGCCCCCACTATACCACCTAGCTGCCCCTTGAGGTGCATTTTAAAGAAAAAGAGGAATTCTATGAGTCAGAAGTAAGGAGGTCATGCATTTTAGGCACGGGGAAGCCAATGCAAAGGCAAGGAGACAAGAGATGTAGTGTAATGAGCCCTAAGGACCAGAAAGAAAGCCCGTTTGGCTGGATCACAGAATGCAGAAGGGGGAATAATATCCAGTGGAGCTGGAAAGGTGAACTGAGGCATACTCTATAGGGCCTTAAAGGCTACACAGAAGAGTACACACTGTATTCTAGAGGCGACAGGAAGCCACTGGAGTTGGTGGAGTGGGACAGTCACATGGTCACTGTACCCCAGGACAATTCAGGAGACCAATGAGGAGGCTGTTGCAATAACACAGGTGAGAAGTGATGAGGGACTGAGCTAAGGTGGAAGCTGGGCGAGCTGGAAGAAAGGGTTGGATGGTTGAGAAGCTGTGGATAGAAAGGACAAGATTGGGGAACTGAGTGGATATGTGAGATGAGTGACAGAGAGAAGAGGAGAGATTAATGCTAAGTTACAGACCTGAGATACTGGAAAGATGGTGGTGCTTTTGACAGAAACAGAGAAGTATGGAATAAGATGGTGAGTTCAGTTTTAGACAGCTGAATTTAAAATGTCTTGGTGATATCAAATGTCAAATTGGCAATATTGGGACAAATCTCAAGGGACAGACTGGGGCATGATGTGTAGATCTGGCACTCTAAAGGTCAGAACACTTAGGGTGTGGGGGACAGCGAATGCAAAGGCACAGGGTAGGCGCTGAAGCATTGTGTGAGAAGAACAGCAAGAAGGCCAATATGGCAGAGGGCTGGAAGAGAGGAGTGTGTACAAAATACGGCAGGGCAGGCAGTGCCAAGCTCCACATGCCAAATTGAGGAGATTTTATTTAGTCCTATAGATAACAGGAGTTTGCTGGGTAGAGAGAGGACACTGTCAGACCCCTGCTTTAGGAAAATCACATAGGCAACAATGTGGAAAATGGACTGGGTCGGGGCAGAGACTTGAGTCGGGTAGACCAAGGAGAAGGCTGACGCAGGAGTGGTCCAGAGATAAGCAGGAATTGAGCTAGGATAGTAGCTGTGTGTGTGAGTGAGAAGGGGACATAGACAAGAGATGTTGTAGAGGTAGAAAAAGCAAGATCTGGTCACTGACTGGCTAGATGAGGCGAGTGAGGGGTAGGAGCTGACGGCGGCACTGAGGTTGTAAAGCTGGGTGATCAGAAATATGGTGGTGGCCCTGGACGTGAGGACATTTTGAAGAACAACCATATGGAGCTGGAGATATCTGGGAGTCACCTAACTTGAAATGTCCAAAAGGCAGCTGGTAATGTGGGACTCAGGCTCCGGAGAGAACTGGGCTGTATAAATAGATCTAGGAATCATCTGCGTAGAGATGATAATTAAACCCACGGGAGATGGTGAGAGAGCACAAAGAGAAAAGAGAAGAGGCTGAGGACAGAGCCCTGAGGGCCAACCCCAGTTAGCAGAAATGACATGGATGAAGATGCAACAAAGCAGTCTGAGAAGGAACAGTGTGACAAGAAGCAGGAGAACCAGGAGAGAAGGCCATGATATAATCCAGGGAGGAGCGTATCAGAGAAGGTGAGTGGCAGAGCGATCCAGAAGGATGAGGATGGAGCTTTTTGGTGACAATCCCTTCTAATACTGGTTTCTAGATAATAATGCCCATTTTCTACATATCTTCCCAGTACCTGGCTTATTAGAAGAGCTCAATAAAGAACTGATGATGCAGATTACTAGCCTCAAACAAGAATGCTATGTTGCCTTCAAGGCAATCTGACACTACCTCACATAAGGTTTTATCACAAAGAACGAGCCCTAAACTTTATTATAGAGTCAAGATTCATTACCTATTGGGAAGACGGATTCTTTTGATGGCATAATTGCAATCATCAACTTTGTTTCTAGCTTCAAAGACCACTCCAAATCCTCCACGACCCATACACTGGATTGGTTCAAAATCTGTTAGATATCTGAAAAAGAAATTTTAATAACACATTTTAAATATTAAAAATGCAGGAACAAAGAGCCCAAATCTACATCTTTAGCAGATAACCCACAAGAAGTCTAAAAGCTGAAGAGAACTCGTCATGCCCACTATATGTGATCCTCCTCACTTCACAATCACGTTTTTGTTATCCACAGAGAAAGACACAGCTACCACTTTGGTCTACTTAATTCACTCAGGCTACCCACATGAAAGAGAAAGGTAGACTAGTTATCTTTTGTTACCTTCAATATTTCAAGAATCTGTAATTTCACTGATGTGGGTACTTACTCCCTCCACCAATGCAGATTGCAACCTCTCTAGAATGGTCCGTGAGAGTTGCTGTGGCTGGCAATGATGAACCTCTCCACCTTAAAGCTGGCCCTGAACAACTTAAGTGTGCTCCATCACTGAGCTCACAGTTGGAGGTTTCTAGGGGGCCCTGCCAGAGGCATGCCTCTCTGCTGGCTTAGCCTTTGGAAACCCAGGGTCACCTCCATGTGACGATGAAAAGGATAAAGAATTGTCATCATGACTCTAAGTTTTACACCCCCTTGTTGTCTTCTGTGTCAAAAACTTTAAATCAGTTTTGGTCAGGAAGATAAGATTGATGCTATTGAGCAAAAAAGGGATTTTATAAATCAGCTCTCCCCCTTCATCTCATAGATATGGAAACAAAATGTGAATTGACTTGCCCAAGGGCCCACAGATAGAAAGTGATCTGTGTACTGATGCATTTTATAAATGACGAAGCATGACATCAATACGGCCCGTCATTACTATCTAACTTCCAAAGCTACAAAAACACACATCCTAGTTGTCCAGTGCCCTTTACTGTCTCTTTAGAAAGCAAATGCTTTTCTGTCTTCTTTGGGAATCGGAAAACAAGCTTCTATTTCACTGGGAATAATTTCTCCTTCTAGTAATGTCCAGTAATCCTCATCTGTGCTCTTCTGTCCTATCATCCAGAGCACAAACACAAATTCCTCAGCTCTCTACACACTTGTACTCCCGACTCTCACTGCTGCTTTAAACGAGACAGTTTGTCAGTAGCATTGTCTCCTTCTTTGTCTTGGTACATAGACCTAAACTGGATTTCATTCCATTATATCAGAATTATTTTTAGCAGATGATCTTTCTAATTACCAGTCCTACACAACACTGCCAGAAGGGATTATTGCATATGGTGGGAGAGCACTGGACAAGATGTCCTCTAAAGTCCCCTCCAACTCTCAGGATTCTCTCATCTACAACCTTTACATATCAGCTCAGACGGTTAATTCAGCCGGCTAGAACATGGTCCTGATGAGGACAAACAATAGATTCAACTCTCTATGAGCATATAAAAAAAGGCGTTACAGTCATCATCTGCTTCCCTCACTGGAACTAGTTAAACTCAAAATGTGAGTTCCTGGACACAAAGGGACAGATGAAAGAGATGTGTCCCTCCCTACAAATCCATCCTTACCTCTGAAAAAAAAAAAAAGCAGCATTCAGTCACTATCCTGTTAATGGAGGACGTGATAGGAAAGACAGCCCACTACACAGACATTGTCCATCTTATGAAAACAGATAATTATCACCTTTTACTTAAGGGGATTATGACTATTATAAAGGTCCACATATTGCAAACCAGCCTCCTCCCAACCCACTATCAAACGTTCAATGATTCCACAGTTACTCATTCAGACCCCTCATTTCTCTAACCTCTTATTTGATGATTGCTTGACTGAGGAGCTACTTCAGAATTCACATTTTCACCAGAGTCCAGACACAAGAAAAGTTTACTAATGAGCTCAACTGTTCTCAAATCTGATGGCCTTTTCTCAGTCACAAGTTACGATGCTCTGGGATCTCTCTGTGCACAGCTTTTGGCTCTGCAGACCACCCTGGATTCTCCACCTAATTGTCTGACTCTTCCTTCTGTCTCCTTTACTGGATCATCTTCTGTCTCCCACCCCTTAGTGCTGTGCTCCCAGTGCTCTATCCTGGGCCTTTTCTACCATCCACTCTCATGGCGCCATCATTACCTCTACATGGATGACTTCCACCTGTATACATCCAGTCTCAGACTATGTTGTATCTTGAGTTTCAGGCCTGTGTCACTCCTTATCTGTTATACTTCACCACTATATTTCCCATAGGTATGACACACTCATCACCTCCAAAAAGAAGCTCACTATCTTTCCCCCAGACCCTTCCCTCCTCTACACTTTCCTATTTCTCTTGAAAACACCACCATAATTTTAATCGATGTAGGTTCACAACCTCGGACACAGCCGTGGAATCACAGAACTGGAGCTGGAAGGGATGTCAGTGGTCCCTTCCAGTCCAACCCATACACCAAAGGACCGTTATAATGGACCTGACAAGCAGTCACCCAGCCTCTGCCTGAAGACCTCCAGAGAGGGAGAAGCTACTCCCTTGGACGGCAGCCCATTCTGCTCTGGGACAGCTCTTCTTGATGTCCAGTCTCTGTAGGCCTCTTTTCAACTTCTGGGGTCAAAGAGAACAAGTCTGATTCCCCTCATTAAAGGAGAGCCTGGGAAATACTTGAACATAACTGTCATCCCCCCAAAGCCTTCTCTTCCCTTAAACTGTCTTCCTACATCACCGACTCAAGGCCCTTCACCACGCTGATCGCCCTCCTCTGGGTACCAATGTCCTGGCCCAGAACCAAATATACTATTCCAGGGGAGGTCTGATAAGGGTAGAATGCAGTGGGACTCTCACCACTATTTGCAGCAATGAAGGCCTTTCTTCATGTAATCTGGGCTTGTATTAGGTTTTTTGGCTGCCACATCACATTGCTGACTCATACTATGGTCCACCAAGACCCCCGTATCACCCTCATCCAGAACTTTGTCAGCTCTTGCCTCCACTACTGCCACATTCTCCTGACTTTTCACCCCGCATCTCCAAAGCACTTCAACTCAGCTGCCAACATCATCTTCCAAAAACCATAAGCTACTCTCCTGCTCAAGTCCTTTCTGTGGCTCCCTATCTTGAGGGTAAAACAGAAACTACAAAATCCTTCACCGCTGAGCTCCAGTCTGCCTTTCCAGACATTTAGAATGAAGAGGTAACGGAATGTGTGGGGATTGAGGGCTTCATTTTAGATGTTAATGGTAACTTTCATCCCAACCTGAAATACTAAGGTGGCAGGACTTTCAGCTTCTGCTTGTCCTTCTCTATTCCAAATGCTAAGAAGCAATGAGACAATGAACAGATGGGCAAAGAGAGCAGTTCACTGGCTGACTGAGCACCTTCCCAACCACCAAGCCGGCTCTACCTGAGAATTCCAATTATCCATGTTTTCACCACCTCCTTTATCCCCAAAAATCAAAGGCTGAATGACAAACCCAGGAGCCGCATAGCCAGTGCACCTTCCTCTGAATGTAACTTCACCACTTCCTTTTTTGGTTTTGTTTGTTTTTGGCAAGGCAATGTGGTTAAGTGACTTGCTCAGGATCACACAGCTAGTAAGTGCCAAGTGTCTGAGGCCAGATTTGAACTCCGGGTCAGAACAAGTCCTGACTTCAGGGCTGATGCTCTATCCACTGCACCACCTAGCTGCCCTTACTTCACCACCTTCTACAAAGGTATCTACTCTGTTTCCTTGGTTAGGAGACAACCTGCAGAGTGGAGGGAACCTTGGCTTTTGCATCAGGAGGCGCTGGGCCCAAACCAGGCTACTTCCTACCTGTGCATCCTTCAGGTTCTTTGTGTGAGAAATGAAAGGTTTTCACTACATACTCTGACCCAGGAGGCAGTTTTCTCCCCCTACCTCATCTACTGTGCCAAATGTTCAATTTCCATCTGTGAAAGTCCTCTCACTTTCTCACTTCTTATTTCCCACACACAACATCAGGAAAAACAAATAGTTCTTAAAAGATTAAGCAGCTTGAGAGGATAAACATTATGTTCCAAACAACAAGTAAAGGCTAAAGGCTATCCAATAATCTAGCGAAAACAGATACAAATTTAAGTGGTTGATAACTGAGCACAGAAGTTAAGTTATGCTAGGTTTCATTATCATTTCTTCTCAGATATAGTGGGCTCTCATCATATCAGACAAACATGTATCTTTAACATTGTGACACTGGACTCTTACCTTGATGTATATCCAGAGGACTTGGAGTCCGCCCAGCTACTGTCACTCCCCTCACCACTTACGGACTCATACTTATTATCAGTCTGACACTGAGTTTCAGATTCCTTCCTTTGCTGATATTGATGAAAAAAAGAGTTGTCCCATCAGCATTTCCATATGGTACTACTAAAAGCCAGTAATCAACAATAAGAAAAACAACACCATCCAAAATAACTATGAAATGTACCAAATATATGAGTTAACCTACTAAGACATAAATAAGATTTATATAACTACAAAACACCCCTCACAGAAATAAAGGTAAGCAAATGACTTAGAGAGATCTTCACTGCTCATTAGAGGGCCATGCCAATATAATAAAAACATTAATTACAGAGGTGCCAGATGTATCTGCAGCACAACTGGTGTGGCTAATGCTTGAAAAATCATTATATGCTGTCAATGAAGAGAAATGCTTCCAATGATATAAAAGCCAATTACTGTTTCCAGTTTTCATCGTCTTAAGTATAAGATCTAAAACTCTATGACACCAAAGTGAATATAAAAAGGAGGGATAAAGAAAATCTGTACAGGTTTTCTATATCCATAAAACTTTCAAATAAATCCCGTTAAAATTACTTACTCTATGAGGATTCGGGTGGAACAGCCGGCGCACAATAAAAGTTGTTGCTATAATGCAAAACAGGATGGTCGCGACTATCTCTTTCCACCAGTGCAGAAGGAGGACAGGGTCCTTCTTCCGGGTATTTTTGTTATAATTGATATTGTCGAAAAATCTCACAGTGATCTGCGTGCTCCGTTTGTTCCTGTCTCTCTTGTAGTATGGTAAATAATAGCCATTATCTTTAAAAAAAAAAAAAGAAAGAAAGAAAGAAATTTGTACACAAAGATTAACTGAAAAATCACTTGTAATAAGTTAGAGATAAAAAAAGATGAAATGAACTCATTTTATCTTTCTGTTTTAAGTCTGCCTGCAAGCAGCTCATCTACAACTGAGTATTTAGTTGAAGCTAAAGGTCTATCCAGTTAGCACCGAATCCTTTTTTGGCAGGTCTAAATAAACTCAAACAGTCCAGCTCACTCCCGTTTGGTTCATTTAAGACTTTGCCAAAGATGAGCTTCCCCTGAAGTTTCCTTCATTGGTAAGTAACCTGTACATTAAATTGATTCTACCATGGAATCCTAGCACATCAAAGTGGACAAATCATTATTTCTTTTAGGCACTGTTGAAACACCAACACACAACATCCTAAAATACTTAACCCGGAACACTTTCCTTTTTATCAGTTTTGGTAAAGAAAAACACAACTATTTCTATGCCTTAGCAGCTCACCGTCCTCCATCCAACTTCTCACCAGACTATAACCTGATAATCAAGCCCACGGCCATCCTGTCAGCTCCTGGTGGGCTCCCTTTCACTGTGTGTCTTCCAAAACCCACACGAGCATAAGAAAGACCACTTGTCTGGGACTTTTCTAGGGGACTCATGTTCTGAAACAGGACAAAAAAGCTGACCTCTGATGCCCCTCCCACCTCTACAACTGATCTTCTTTATTCTGAGGCAGCATGGTGGAGGATACAGCGAGCTGGCTGACGTGTGTTGAATACATAACTTCTTAGTGCCTTAGGGCCTCAGAAACTAGATGTCACTGATATCTGCTGATCTACATCAGCATGCGTATTCTACTCAGGAGTTCCCTACATCAATAAAATTACAGGACCCAACGAAAAAAATCATGCTACATAAGCTAAACTTATGTTCAAGAAAAAACACCCCCCCCACTGCTCTACCTCCAAAACTTCTTTGTATCTCCTTTATCTGCCTTTATAGTAATACTATATGATAATCGGACAATTATCCACCAATTCTCATTTTTTTCTGTTATTCACACTTACCATACGGATACTGCAAAATGGAAAGTGCACCATTACTATATTCTTCATGAGAAAACTTGTCATTACTAAGACATTTGTCAAATTCATCAGAGCCCACCAAGACAGGAGTCCTAGAAGGAGAATCTACAAATAGAAGGGGAAAAAGTCTCAATCATATGTGATGACGTGAATGAAAACTCCTTCATAGTTAAGTATTCTAAATAGGTTTTTGCTGAGAAAATGCAGTTTTTGTCCTGAATACTTCATAATTATTAATGGTGAAGAGCAGCATGTTAAAGCATATTTTATGAACCATAACATTCAGTATAGAAACAGTTGTCTGTACGACATAAAAAAGTTGTAATCTGCACTTTACCATTAAAATCTGTTTGTAAAGAAGGTGAACATTTAGCCCTCTGGTTCATCAGTAAAACTTGATCTTTCAGTATCATACAGAGAGTCTTAAATTTATAAAATGCCTAAACAGCCACGGCAAAGGTGGTAATGACTAGGACTTATGAGAATCTTAAAACTGTACAATAGGGTAAATGTTTTATTACTTACGAATTAAGGGCTTCCATTTGATTGTGGGCAAAGGAATAATTGCATTTTCATTATTGACAGATTCCAAAGCCTTTGGGTTCGTAGGAAACTTTTCTGAAATCCTGACTGATGACTGCAGGTACAGCTGACCTCTGTACATCCCTAAAGGGTAAACCAGACAACAATGATCCCACCAACAACGAGAAAGAGGGTTATTTTTTAGCTCTTCTCCCATGAATGATATGCTAGAATCCTCTTTTCAAAGACAAACAACGTAGGCCAGAAAGAACTCAAGTTTGGCTAATAAATTATTCTGATGATACTAAAAAATACTAGGGGCAGCTAGGTGGCGCCGTGGATAGAGCACCAGCCCTGGATTCAGGAGGACCTGAGGTTAAATCCGGCCTCAGACATATAACACTTATTAGCTACGTGACCCTGGGCAAGTCACTTAACCCCATTGCCTGGCCAAAAAAAAAAAAAAAAAAAAAAAACCCCAAAACAAAAAAACAAACAAACAAAAAAAAGAAAATACTACTTCTTATGGACCTTGGCTGATGATCACAACTGAATCTAAAACATAAATAAATTTGTATTTTGCTCCTTTGGGCACTGAGATGTATATTATAGGTCTTATCTACAAACGTTCAACCAAAAGATAAAGACGGAAGCTGTTTTTGGATTTCTCAAGTCATAATCTATTGTGGTTTCACTCTTGAATGTGTCTATGTGTGTAATCAGTTACTTGCATACATGCTATATCCCCTCATGAGGGTGAGGACTATTTGATTTTGTCTCTGTAACCTGCCAGCTAGCACCCTGCACGGAGAAGGGGCTTGGTAAATGTTTGTCAAACTGAATTTAATCTCACCAGAAGAGAAATTACACTACATAGCAAATAATCAAAGGGAATTTCATCCTTCCCCCCCCACTTTGCTCTAATCTGAACAAAATGTTACATAGATTTCCTAAGTAATGCTCCCTCCAAATGTTGGCTTGTCAAAGGTACTGACCCATGTTTCAGATTACAAACTCTTGGAAGACAAGAATCATCTAAGAGGGAGGGGGAATGACGGGTCATACATGAGACGAGCAAAGAAGAAAGCATCTGAAACACCACTGTGGGTATTGTGATAGAGATTAAAGCAAACATAAAGTAATGCTATGACACAACTCAGGGGGCCCCACCAGCCAGTAGACCCAGTGTGGTCACACTATTTCCTCCAGTGCTATTTAGCAGCAGGCAAGTAGAAGGTGACATTTTATTTTCAAGTACTGATCCTTTTTTGAGACTGCTGGAGTAATTATGGGAGAGGAAGTTTAGAAAATAATTTTCATGAATATTTTTTAAATGATAATTACTGCATTTGTGAAAAGCACCATATTAAAAACTCAAGTCTTTCACTGGCCATAAGAAGACTAGCATTTTCTTCAAATTCATGGCTGAATAAATGGTTAGAAAACATGAATGTGGATCCTACATTTACTAAGCTTCTTTGGTATAGGTCCCCAGGCAAACAAAATTTAGACAAGACAGTCCCTTCCCATCATTCCCCCTCCCTCTCACAAGGGAGATATTAAGTGACCATATCAGAATGGGAGTCAGGATACTAAATGAAAGCAGCGTTTATAGTGACCAACCTAAGACTTGGAGGTTAACCAGGAACTGCAAAAATGATGACTTCCACTCAGCCTTACTCTACGAACGTCTGAAGTCAAAATGAAATAAGAAAAGCCCAGGTCTTCAGGCCCACAATCCCTACGATAAAGGACATACTCTCCCTTACCTAAATAGACACTGTTCTCAGTGGCTCCTCGGGCAGCTTCCACAATGTCTTCTTCATCTTCTAGAATTTCACTTTCAGATGAGTAACTTGTATCGTCAAACAGACTAATTGGAATGACTTTCCCATCTTTAACCAACCAGGCCGAAGCAATTGGAGTGCAAAACTGAACAAAGAGAAGGTTAGAGTTGGACTTTACCATCCAAGTGGCCATCTGTGCACCTAATTCATGCAATTGTATGTAATCGGAATTACAGAAGGAACTCAGTGCCAGGAGAACCCCCACACCCAAAGGATGGTGTCTCTTCATCCCGCCAGAGTAAGCCCTGCAAACCCCACCGACACCCGGCAATTCTAACTCTGCCTCTGTAGTACCTGATACTCCCACTCCAGATGTCCGCCCTTCTTGCTAAAGGCTAGAACCTTCCAGTCGGTGACGGAGACCTTTATCACAGTGTCCTGCAGGGCAGCTTCCTGTTCCTCCACATCTGAAATGATTTTAGACTCTCCTTTTTTAACACTGGATTTAAAATTACTTTCAATAAATCCGGCTCTAGTTTCCATCTCTGGAACGTAGCGCAGTTCAAAGTGGCCAACACTGAAATTCCACCTTAAATTTACAAAGACACATTTTAGAAATTACATTTAAATAACAAAACTAAGCATACCACTTTTCTAGCTTAAAGAAACACATACCAAAGCTTTAAGTTTTGACGAAAGGAATCACACCAATTTTGTCTCAGTACTTGAACATACTGTCGTGCTGACTTATGTCAGTAGAGGGTGCACAAGAGCTTTTAAAACATCGCTCTATTATGAAGATGACTTAACACTTTACATTTTGAGCAGAACATTTTGAATATGTGTGGGTTTCAGACATTGATGCTCTTTCCACCCAAACATTCTAACCCAGATTCAGAATGGTTTTATAGAAGCAGAACACAGTAAAGTAACTGTATAGATGACGCTAGAACCAAGCCACCTGCAATCTGCCATCTCTCTATTTTAAAAATCCAGTCCTGGATTTGGAGTCAAAGGACCTAGATGTGAATCCTAGCTCTCTTATTCAGCACCTGTGTAAACCTGTATAAGTCATTAACTTTATCCAGGCTTCAGCTTCCTCACCTGTAAAATGAGTTGGACCAGATGACCTCCAAGGTCCTCATCTAACTTTAAAACCTATGTGTCTATGACTCAGACATTGAGTTTCTGAACCTACCTATCCCAATAAAACAATAATACTGGCTCTTTCAAGATACTGTTTTAGTTTTTCAATATTTAAAAAGTCACTGAAGGTCATCTGTTTATGTAATGTCCCAGGAGTAGAAAAATAATTTAAATATTGACAAGGTATTCTCTGTCACTCAGCTATAAAATAGCTGGGCTGGAAAATGAGTCATCCGACTACGTGACTCCTAGTACAGACTACATTTAGAGAATGGATCTTAAGACATAACAGCTTCCTGCTGGTGAAGCCCTGGCTGAATTATGTGACTCAGCACTCCTTCAAGTGCTCTCCTTCAAAAACGTGTCTACATGCACATGTCAAAACTACATAAGATTCCTTAAAAGACACAACAAGAGAAATAACTTTGGTGACCTTCAGAACAGAAAGATCAAGGAGGGGCATAGCACAAGCCAAAGGTGTGGCCAGTGTTGTGATAGAGGATGTGCAGTGTGGATTCCATGATGAGGTCACAGAGAGGTCCTCTAGATGCTCTTCCTTGCATATGATATGGTGCTAATTGTTACCAAGTACTGGATACTGCAGAGCCTCCTGAGTGAGATCCATGATCACTCCAGAGTTCAGTAATTATTCGTACCAAAGAAAAAAAAAAAAACCAACGGAAGAAAAGTGTCTATTGTCCATGTTATGACATGCAAAAGGACACTCAACCTATAAAGGCCATCCATCAACTTTTATGTCTTAGACAGGCTGCAACAGACAATGAGTTAAGCCCAGAACTGAACAGAAAGAGAGTGGTCTGGATTGCCTTTGGGAAAGTACAAAGTTTATTTTAAGGATCACAGGCTTCTCCTAGAAACATAGGATCACATGTGTAACCCCTCTGCTGGAAGAATATTGCTGAATGAATGCAGATTATAGAACTGCTTGAGCAACAGCAGCTGAGCCCCATTCCAATCGTAATGGAGAGGTACATAGTGGGGTTAAGCAAGAGGTAACATATTACACAGAATTATGAGAAAATGGCATAAAAAGATGGCACCAAAGCAATGTATGATCTACAAGGTGGGCTGGTTGTGTGGCAAGAGTGAGCCCCAACCAATGGATAGCCTCCACATTCCTCAATATCCTTACAAGGTCGAGCAGACTTGAAGACAGCCCTTCACAATTGAGGGGGATAATGCCTGAGAAGACTTGGAGGAGAACAGGCCAGAACAGGCAGGCATGGACAGTTGTGATCTGCATCACCAGAAGCTATATCTGCATTACTGAGACGACACCTCCATTGGTGTGCTAGATACAGTCCTTGGGCCACTCTCTACTAGCACTTGGCAAGTCAAACCTCTAAGAAGAAATGTATGACTCCTGGTCTTACACAAAATTCTGAATAGTAACAAAATACTTCCTATGAATACGCACTTCTCATGGCCGCTCCGTGGTCCAACAGCCCGGACCGTTTTCTGCGTTCGATGCAGAAGGAGAATGTCTTCTTGCTCTAACTCCTCATCATCCCATCGGCGACAGCCCATGGATGAACAAATATACTTCACCTGAGAAGTAGTAAGCAACAAAAACAATAAGGCACTAATATCCAAAAGATACAAATAACAAGAGAATAGAGAAAGTAATGTAATTCTTGGAATTAGAAAAAAAAAAAACTAAGTGATAATAACAGTAACAAAAACCCAAATAGATAGTGTTTGAAGGTTTGCAAAGCACTTTACCAATACTATTTAGCGTAATCCTCATAATGATCCTGTGAGACAGGGTTTATTATTATCATCCTCTTTTCAAAAATGAGAAAATTGAGACTCAGAGAAGAAGTGGCCTTCCCAGAATCACACCGAGTCAGTGTCTGAGGGGGGATTTGAACTCAGGTCTTCTTGAATGCCAGTCCAGCTTTCTACTCCCTACTATGCTGCTTTTTCAATAACAGTTTTACAACATGCTTTCAGACCAGTTACTTCATTTGGCACTCCCTGTAATTCTTCATATGCTTCTTTCACAGAAACAGGCCCTCGGTAAGTTAGGGGATATTGCCATGTCAGTAAAAAACAAGTCCCAAGAATGATATTTATAACACCAGTGTTTGGTGGTGTTGTCAGACACCTTTTGTAACAGCTTAAAAATGTCTCCAAATTTTTGCAAAGAAGGAATCTTAGCAGGCACTAAATGAAAACCACCCAAAAAATAACCCTGCTCTGGTACCAGTTTATGTAGTAGCACCTAGAATCACAAAGCTGAGGATTCTTAGATTTGGAAAGGTCCAAAGAAATCATCTAGTCCAGTGCTTCTTATACTGTGGGTCATGACCCCACATGCTGAAGGGGTTGAGAATGGAAAAAGTTTAAGGAGCCCTAACTAGTCTATCCTGCTCCCTCATTCCGCAAGTAAGAAAATTCAGACTCAAGAAAGATGAGGTGACCTTAGAGTGGTCAAGGAGTGCAGCACAGGAGGGAAGGAGACCTTCTGACTCCCAGGGCAGGAGACCTTCTTGAGGTGACATCATGTTACCTTAACAACCTCACCCAGGTGCATTGGTTGGGAAAGGGGGAGGGCACAGCAAGGAGATACTTCTGCCTTCTCACAAAGTCAAAAATGAAATGCATGTGAAAACATCCTCAGATATGGATTCTTTGGCGTGTACTCATTGGACTTAACTCTTCTAGTAAGTGTCATCCTAAGTCCACCCACAGCATATTGTGATTTACAGACCTCATAGTTAGAATTAAGGAGGAGAAGTTGAGTTTTAAGTCCTTTAAATCTTTCCAATCAACTCTTACTGCCACAGATGTTCTAATTTCTACTTCCAGCCCCAGTCCCTAGGTCATTGTTCTTGGTCTGCAAGATAATGGATTACTTTTGTTAAGTTTCGCTTGTTTGCTAGAGTAAATGAGAACTTACATAATAAAAGTATACATGAAAGCACTCTGAATTCTTCAAAAGAAGAATATAGAACAATAGCCCTCAAGTATCACTTCTTCATCATTTCCTCAGTACTACATCCTTTGGTGCCATCTTTCCTTCCCTATCCCCAAAACAGAGATCACATCTATTCACTCACCTTTCCACTGTGTGCACTGAGCCCATACGTGGTAAGAGACTTTCCTCCAACCAAAACAACATCATCTCCAAATTTATACGAAGACTCAAGCAGAGACTCCACTGTGAAAGGAACTGCTTCCATGCTTTCCCGTTCTCGGTCCCACTGGAAGAGGTCTCCATCCAGGGAAGGAATGATCATTTTATTCCCAAATACCTAAAATAGTAACATTACTTTTTAAAAGTCAGGCAGTTTAAAACAAGGCCATTAGCTGAGACTTGGGTCGTTTTGACAAAACATCAAACTATGGGCATGGACATTAGGAAAATTAAATAGAGGCTATCTATGCATTTCATTCCAAAACCATCATTACAGTAGGCAATTATGGGATTGATCCAAGGATAGGCTACTCTTGAATATAGGTCATGGCCTTAAAATACCTTTCAAAGAAAAAAAATGTATATGCATACGCTAAAAAGTCACTTAGGCTTTATAAAACCTGATTTGGGGAAAAACATATAGCCTATCTTCAGATCCATATGGTAAGTGCCACCCTCCTGCGCCATCCAAAAAAAAAAAAACCAAACAAACAAAATCAAAAGCCACTCAAAGATGTTTTAATTAAAATTAATAACTTGAGTGATCTTTCTTCATTTAGCAAACAACATAATACCAAGTTAGCACGTGTAAGTAGTTATTAAACAAGGAAGGATTACAGACGGAATTGCATTGCTTATGCAATTTCTCCTAAATAAGATCCAACAGAAAATAAAATTTAGTCACAAAAGGTAGTCAGTCTATTCCAGAATTAATTGTTACTACTCCTTAGAAACTACTTTCAAGTTCACAACGAAGTTTGGAGCGGGGGGCTGCTTGCTTCTCTTTTTTAACACTCGAAGGAAAGCCAGGCACTGTCTTCTTCACCTGGCTCAGCTGAAGAGTGTTCCAAACACAGACAACACGTGGCCCCTCATGTTCCCACACCTGGGCACTACACGGTCAGAAGCACTGCTAATGCCTAAGATTCTGATTTCTTTTTTCATAATTGCAAAGGGAAGCCAACAAATTCAACAGAAAAATGTAGTTTATCTCACTTTAGAAACAGAAAGCATCACATCCACAAATAAAACATTATTAATAGATGAAGAGCCCTGTGAACCTAGAGTCCCTTTACACTGGACCTTTTTGGTGAAACTGAGTACAAAAGAACTCTACAGCTGCATTTATTTTTGAAGCATTATGCTTATTAGGTTTCACATGATCAAAAGAGAACCTTCTGTAGGAAACAGGATGGTTTCTGAAGCAGCTTCTGTCAGTCAGCAGAAAGGCCAGACAACAGGCAGTCATCTGCATCAGAAACAGAGGCAGTTTGGTCCAAGGCCCAGGCGCTCGACTTGCAGCTCCAAGGCCAGGGTTTCCCCTCTGCATTTATGAGCTCTGAGAACTTCGGCAAGTCACAAAAACCTCTGGGGACCTCAATTTCCTCATCTATAAAAGAGTGATAATTTCATCTACTTCCTGGCATAACTATGAGAATCAAAGGTGCTAGCTGTGGGAAAGGTCTTTGTAATCCTTAAGCACTAAATGTCCATAATTTACACTGATAGAAGGTGTCGCATGGAGATGGGCGCCCTGAGCATGAATCCTGTACTCCTCTCATCAGAGAGTATCAAACATTTGCTGGGCTCCTGACCAATTGCTGCGACAGGCAGATGAGATTCAATAAACATTTATTAAGTGCTTCTTTTTTCTTTCTTTTTTTTTTTTGGTGAGGCAATTGGGGTAAAGTGACTTGCCCAGGGTCACACAGCTAGTAAGTGTCAAGCGTCTGAGGCCGGATTTCAACTCAGGTCCTTCTGACTCCAAGCCCACAGCTCTATCCATTGTGCCACCGAGCTGCCCCTTATTAAGTGCTTCTTCAGAGGCAGCAAGGCAAGAGTGGACAGAGAGCTGGCCTCGAAACTAAGAAGGCCTGGGATCAAGGCCCAGCTTGGACATACATTGGCTTCCCCCTGAGGCCTTCAAGTGACTCAAAGACTCTTAAGTTACAAAAAAGGGAGCCAACATGTTAGATGACAAAGTCAAGATCCAAGAGATCTTGACAGACAGATTAGAAGAAGCTGATCGGATCTACCAAGATGAAATCAAATGAAGATAAGCCTGAGTCTTCTACCTGGGTTAAAGAAAATCAGCTTCACAAGTACAAATCTAGACAGCTGTTTGCCTAGTAAAGATCATGGCCTTTGAGTGGACTATCACTCAATGGGAGTCAACTGGCTGACAAATCACAGAATCAGGGAAGCTGATGTGACGTAATCCAACTCACCCAAAAAGGAAGTCCTACTCCACATGCCAGACAAACGGCCATGCACACTCAGAAAAGGAAGCCTCTCCAGGCCCACTTCTGAGGGGCAGCCAACAAAAAGCTAACGCAATCCCAAGCTGCAGGAAGAGATGCCTAGTGTCCAGCGCACAAGAGGTCACCATCATGTTGGACTCCCCCTTGCAGTGTGGTATTCATGGTTTTTTAATCATTTTAGTTGTTTTTATTTTATCATTTATCGTTGTATTTTTATCAGGTTTACTTATTTACCATGGGTTTGTTTTTCCAGGAAAACTCTGATCCTTGATTTGTCTCCAGTTGTCCTGTCTTTAGGGCTGTGGCTTCATGTGTTCCTTCAAAATGTGTGACTCTTCTGGAGGGACCCCGGGGGGCACCGTGAACAGAAAGTTCGGCCTTGAGACAGAAAGACTCAGTTCAAATCCTATCTCAGCCACTTGCTTACTGGATGATTCTCATCAAGTGACATAATCTGTCTGCCTCAGTTTCCTCAACTGTAAAATGGAGATAATAATAGCACCGATCTCTCAGGGTTGTTTTGAGAATCAAAAGAGATAATATTTGTAAAGAGCTTAGCACATAGTACCTGGCACAGTAGGCACTACGTAAATGCCAGCTATTCATATTATTGGCAGCTAAGTGGCACAGTGGATAGAATGCTGGGTCTGGAGTCAGGAAGCTGGTGTCAGATACTTCCCAGCTGTGTGACGCTGGGCAAGTCACTTAACCTTCTTTGTCTCAGTTTCCTTATCTGTAAAATGAGCTGGGGAAGGAAATGGCAAACCACTTCAGTATCTCTGCCAAAGAAAAAACAAAACCCAAATGGGGTCACGATGAGTCAGACATGACTGAAACAACTGAACAACAACTAAATTGTGATGATGATGATGATGATGATAATGATTATACTCAATCTGAAGGAATAAATCAGAAGAAGACCATTAACAAGCTGGCCGGCAGCCAGATGAAGGCCACGAGATTAAGTGACTGATGAGGGGCCTTGTGACCTTGCCCCAGAAAGATCAGGTCTGTGTACTGAGACTGTGTAACACGGAGAAGAGTTCAGTGATGGCGTCATGGCTGTCATCAGATGTTTGAAGGACTTACGTGGGAGAGGGATATGGCTTGTTCTATTTGGCCTTACAAGGGAGAACCAGGAGTAATGGGTGAAAAGGACAGAGAGGCAGAGGCTTGATGTCACTGAGAATTTCTTAACGATTCCATTTACTCACAAGTGGGAAGCCCTGCCTCTCAAGGTGGAGGCTCCCTGAAGCCTTCAGATGGAGGCTGTTTGACCATTTTGGGGCATGATGTAGAGGGAGATTTCTGTTCAGGTGCAGCTTGGACTGGAGGGCCTCTGAGATTATCTGGTTTTGGTTTTGGATACAGTGAGTTTGAGGTGACAAGATGCACAGCTGGGGATACATAACCAAGCAGTGAGTGCGGCAGTGAGAACAAACTTAGGAGATAGCTGTGTTTTCTTTTGAACACTTACACATTTCTGAACATAGGGAGCCTAACCGAACTAAGCTAGACATACAAATTTTTTGTTTTACAAGAAGGTGATCAGTGGCACCATGGAGGGAGATAAGGCCACGAAGGAAAAGTGAAGAGAGAAGAAGAGAGGGTCAAGGACAGAAACTCAGTTTGCCAAATTGAGGGGGCAGGAGAAGGAAGAGAAGCCACTGAAGAAAGCAGGAAAGGAAAGAGGGCAGAGGCAGGATCTGGTGATAAGGTAACTAGGGACCTTTGAAATGACAAAGTGGTTCAACAGATTTCTCGAGGTTGAGAGGAAAAAAGAAGAGGGGGAAGAAGAAAGTCTCTGAAGCCACGACTTGTGACGCAGGTGCTGCAAGCATGATTATTCCCTCATCACAGATGAAGAACCAAAGCTCAGAGATGAAAAGACTTGCTCAAGGTCTCAGAGTAAGCACCAAACCCTGGAGCAGAAGCCACATCTCTGCCGACTCCAAGACCAGCCTTCATTCCATGAAACCACAGGGCCTTCCCAGGAGCCTGGCAACAAGTGGAAAAGGAAGCAGGGTCAAGGTTCCTGTCTGGGTTGGCTGCAAAGCAAAGCTTTGGTGTGCATAGACTTATCAGAGAAGGAAGATCATCTTCACATCTCCTTCAGACTAAGAAAGAAAAGTCCATTTTGAGTACTACAATACCACTGAGGTATCTATATAACTGGATTTTCTAATCTAAGCTCTTCATGGTGTAGTAGAAAGATTTATAGTAATTCGCCCTAAGTTTGGCTCCTTACTCAGCCACTTATTAGCTACATGAGCCTAGTGAAATGTCAACCTAAGCCTCAGTTTACTCATCCATAAAACAGGGATAACGCATTACCTACTTCACAGGACTGGGGTGAATTAAACTCAGTCATATGCATTACAACATCTCACTTCATATATTCCTTTTGAAATTAAAAAGAACTCCCCTCACAATAACACTGAGGTAGGGCAGAGCAAATACTACTATCTCCATTTTCTAGATTTACTAGCTCGTGTCAGGCAGCTGGTGTAAGCCAGAAGTCAAACCCAAGGCTCCTGACTCCAAGTCCAGTATTTTTACTACCACACCTCACTCTGAAACCATAAGGTATTACTAAATATAAGTTACTGTAGTAGAAAGTTTTCCTCTTTCATGCTTCATCCCTTTAAAATTGTTTTTGTTTTCTCCAGTGAAAATCTTTCTAAAACGGATCACATCTTTTCTTCATAACTCTGAGCCTTCATTAGAAACAAAGAATTCTAAAACTTGAACTAGAAAGGATTCAGACACCATCTAGTCCAACTCCCTTATTTTAAAAATGAGAAAAGAGTCCCAAGGCCACACAGGTACTGTCAAAGGCAGGATTTGAACCCAGGTT